TGATAGCAACAAGCGCAAGAATATAGTCCCGTACATTTCTGAATGCATTTGCATAAAAATATGACATTTTTCTTCGGGCGAAAGGAAGCACCAGCCGTTTTGCTACGGTGGTACTTTTAAGTAATTTAGTTGAACAAAATCAAACCAAAGATATGGCTCAGCAAGCTCATCAGTCAGTTCTGATTGATAATATCAGCTGCTGGCGATAATGAGAACCAACATTATGTTTAGGATATCTTAGTACACAAACATTATGTATTATACATATAGACCAACATACCATTTCCACAGAGTGATTTCGAAGTACCATAGCGTGCCCACAGGCAGCTGTTGGTCACACTGGGTTTTATTAAAATACCACCAATATCTGGGCGGCCAGTGTATATGTATGGTATAAGGTACAAATTCTTGTTCTTCAGTTTTAAAAAACCACCATTACAGACCCAACCTTGATCGCTCGTAGTAGAATTGCAAGGTTGCAGTGATGCTCCGTATATTTTATGTGAATACCCGTGGTCTATGTTAACACGGGTCACGGCAAGACATTGTTGATTTAAATCTGACTGAAGACGTCCATCTGATGTCCAGCGCCAGCTCTGCTGTTTGGAGAGGTAGCAGCCGCTCAATGATAGCGCTACACTAGTTGCGACTACATAATGGTAAGAGTACACGTATCCTTTTCCATTGAATGTTCTTCTGTAAACCCCACGTCGTCTTACATAACTTGCTGTCAGGCATTTATTATAGCCTGAACTTTGAATTTGGAACAAATTTGATGATGTTGTACTTGTACCTCAAAATTAACAGAGCAATTCTAAATTAACAATCTCATTTGACATTTAATCCTAGTATTAACCATGGCATCATCCTTACTCTTGTGACCTTTCGCTAACTCTACGTTTATTCCTATTCTAGCCCCAACGTTCAATCCTAACTCAAATACAGTAGTTCATATCGTGCATTTGGGGATCGTTAGGGACAGCTATTTTTAATTATTGTTGTTGTTGTTGTTGTTGTTGTTGTTGTTGTTGTTGTTGTTGTTGTTGTTGTTGTTGTTGTTGTTGTTGTTGTTGTTGTTGTTGTTGTTTTGGGGGCTTTCATTCTGCACAGGATATGCTCAAGGAACATTTTTAATACTGTAGTATTGCAGCCTGCTCTTCGGGCAACTCTTTGGGCCAGGCATGATGCTATGCCATATGTGCAAGTATAGAAACAGGCAAAAATACTTTTTTTCAATTGCAGGAGTATAGCTTGCGACAAACGTTTCATAGGTATTTGAATTGAAACTCGTATGTAATACGTCAATCTCACTCGGCAACGGCCAATGAAAGAAGAAGTATGGAAACAAATTCGAGCACAAGAGGGCTAATTTGTAAAGATCGCAAAATCGCGCTAAAATTGCAGCAAAAAATGCATGCATGTGTAAATTAAAACTCTCTAATACTCGTACTGTGAGGGTAATTCGTGCACAGAGATGCAAAACGTAGTCTTTTCCACGAAACAAATAAAGAAAATTGAAAGATTAATATAAAACTTACCGGTGACTTGTGCAGGAGGTCTCGTTGTTGTTTGAGGTGCTGAAATACAAGAATAAAATATGAAAATAATAAGTATTTTACTCAGGACCGCCCAGAAGTGGTGGGGGGGGGGGATGGGGTAATTTGCCCCGGGGCCACAGTTAAATGGGGACCCATGCAAAATTTGCAAAAAGGGGGGCCCCAAAAGGTGTAATTAAAAAAAAATCACTTGTATAAGTAATGATATGAGAAAATCTTCTAGACCCTAATTTTACTGCTATTGGTCCGAAAAAATGTGTTTTATCCGTGATTTTACAGGTATTTGTCCGGAGAAATATTTTTGAACCTTAATTTTACTGGTGTTTGTCTGGAAAAAAAAATTTTCACCTTTTTTTATTTGATATGTCGTTAGGCAAAAATTTTTAACCCTCCCCCCTCGCCAACTTTTTTGGGGAAAAATCCCGAATTAAAAATTTGCTCCGGGCCCCCAAATTTTCTTTGTGCGGCGCTGATTGTACTGCAATGATTGTTTGATAAATTGTATTTCCGAACAGACAACGAATGCTACCTCTGACTTGAAATAACCAGTCATAGTTTCCTTTAAAAAATCCAGGAATTCAACAATTGTTACTCGTCATAAAAGCTGCATCTTGGAAACGGCGATGATTGTTCAACGATAAACCATGCTGATATTCCCATTGTTGTTGTCCGCATTTTTTGGAACCATTAGCTAAGACATTTTCAGTTTAGAAGCTGCCGCATTTTTGTTGCATGCGATATATGGCATGCAACTTTCATATAGCTCTAAATTTCGTGTCGTGTCCGGTGAGCGGTGAGCGTACCAGCACGTGGCAGATTCGTAAAATACGACAAATACCGAGTTTCCGACGAGCATTTTCATGCCGGGTTTTCGTCGAGGAAACGCAAAGAAAAGTTATATATTGATTATTCGCTAAAAATGTACATAATCGAGCGCCTTAGAAAAATAAATCGAGGTAGGTAAAGCTTTACTGTTTTAACTTACCTTATATTTTGTTATTTGTTGTGATTTTGGAGCCGTTGTGCTCGCACTGATTATTTATCAACTAACACGGCGTTTATATTTATATATCGTGAAAGCCTCAAAGCCGCGAACACTATCAAAATACTCGATTTTTATATACTCAAACTGAAACGGAGCCATTGTGTTCGCACTGATTGTATTGTGTGCAAAGCTTCAAAACTACAGCACATTTTGTAAACAACATGAAATATAAATATCAAACACAATGTAAATTATAAATAGTAATACAATTGAAATAGAGATTGAAATATACAACGAAATATCCAACCCAGGGCCTTTGCGCGGTTCAGAGGCTCTGGTACGGGAAACAAAGGCCCTGGCACAGAATAAGGCACACAGAAGGGCCCCCTGGGCGCCATCTTCCTAGCCAGTCGATTACATTTTCTGGCCAATGAACGCGCTGTATTGGCTGGCCGCCATCTTCCTAGCCAGTCAATTGCATGTTTTTGCATAGAAAAATGGGGACACGTTGCACCGCTGAGTGGCCCTTCTGGTACTGATCTTTATTCTGTGGCCCTGGTAAACACTGGTCACGTGTGTCCAAAAATATTGGACATTTCGTAATAATTTAGTTTTCAATCCGGAGGGAGCGGGGCCGATTGATTCTATCAAACATGGCAGCGCGGAGGCGCGACGTTTTCGAGTTTTTATATTATTATGATAAATAAAACTTTCCTAGTGAGATTTAAGAGTGGGTATATATTAACTATGCATTCTACGAGCTTTCTTTCAACAAATTGTGGAATAGCTAACGGTAATACTTATCAAAGATCGAAGGACGAAGATCAAACTGAGAGAAAACTAGTCGAGTGATCTGTCTTTAAACTGTCTATTTTGTATCCAATGCAGCTGCTTCATCTGCTTGTGTGCGACGTTTTATAAAGAATTAAATTAACATTCTTGATTATAAGTAATTTTTGTGTATTGACCAAAGAATATCACTTGGGATTTTATTGTACTTTTATGGAAGGATAAATCAGAGGGGACATCTATGGAAACGAAATTCTTCATGTGTATTACTGTATTAAACATGTAGTTTATATCAAAGCACAACCTTTTGAAACAATTAACTGGTCGAGTGACAGGTTGGTTTCCGTATGTATGTAGTTTAAAATACAGTTGTGAATGAAATTATACACAGTATCTTGAAACCTTTGTGTGTGTGAGTTAATTTCATATTTATTTTTTTGGGATGTATCATCTATATTTCCGTTTGTCTGGAAGGAGGGGAGGGGGGAGGGTACCAATCCTGAATCATGAGAAATAATATACAGTGATCTTGAAACAACAAGTTTACTACGAATCTTATATCAGTGATATGTGACTTAGGAGTCTTAAATGCAAATAACAGTCTGTATACTGGGTGTGCGTTCTTCTATTTATTTACATTTGCAGTTACTGTACATCGGTTCATGATTTATGAAATTTGAACCAAAGCTGTAACATAATAATAGTCACGGCACAAGACACATTTTAGGGTAAATATTTTTCTGAAATACTTCATTTGTTAGTTGCATCTTATAGTATATACTGTAATAATATCTTGAAAAAAAGCTGTAATTGTACCCTGTCTAATAGCTTTGGTTCAATACAATTGGCGACTGGACTGTCTTAGAATCCATGAAAGACCTTTGCTACAACCCCAAGAAAACATGCCTTTTATCAGGAGATCAATTAAATTCTCTGCTTCAACCAGATTAACCACACAAATGTTATTGTCACCATGGTGACTACCGACACTTTTTACAAATAATACACTGATAGTTGAGTACCGCGAGACTCTGACTGACATATCATACTTTGTTTTCAAATATCTTTGGCTTTGGTTAAAAACCAACAATTATACATTCTTAAACATTTTAAATACTTCAGCCTAGATAATTTCCATAATGATGGTCAATTATTCCACTTACTGAGTATACTATAATTACTTCTTTACCATAAAAATTCTTTTGGGTTTAATTGAGTATTATTATTCACAGCTGGTCTAAAAATTGGGTGTTTTGATGCATCATACTTTTGTCAGTAAAATTAAAAACCTATTTAGTCCTATCCGGCTATGCAGAGTTTTATTTGTATTGAGGAGGTAGGGCTTAGAGAGACACAGAGACTTAATGAATATGGTTACATTGTTAAACCAAAAATCACCATATTATGCATAAATTACATATCACTTTCACTTGTCACAGAGTGAACATACCAAATTCAAACAACATTCACACTGTTTCTAGATGAAATAATCAACCGATTTTTTGGGCAAACAATATAATGGGGAAAAAAATAAATATTTATATGTGTGCACATAGTTTCAAGATCAGCTAACAGGATTGAAACCAGCTTTCTGTTATGCTTGGAGCTGGCGAGAACAGTTACTTTTGAACACAAAATGGCATGGGACTTAATTCATCTAGGTGGCAATATATTGCCTTCTCACCAGCACAATTAATCAAGTCATACACATTCATTACAGCCAATCTCTTTATTACTTGTCTCATTACAAATACAATATATTTTCATTATCAGCAGTATCATTACAACTTGTGCATCACCAATATTATCACAACTTGTATTTCACTACCATCATCATCATTATTCTCACCATTCTAATTTTATTAGTCAATCAGAATGAATAAAAAATTTGCTATTTTGCACCACTCATATATTACTTAATTGCCCAAGGTCAGGGCCATTTCACATCACTCCAGCATCTGAATACCCTGCAATCGCCTTTTCGATATAATACTAAAAGAGAAACAAACTACAAATGTCTTACTGGCACATTGGAATATCATAATTGCCATAAAATAACTCATTTGAAACCACATTCTGCTGTAACAGCACAACTGCTTAAGGTTGCAAGGTAAATAATAGGGATGTAGTAAGGCCAGTATTACTGGTAATTGTCTTTTTACATTTTGCTCACAACCAAAGTCCAATTATATGGAGCAAAAGTTAGAATATCCAGCCACTTTTTATTACTCACTTAATCTTACACTTGACAACGTGTTGGACGGAGAAAAATAACAAAGTATGCTATATTTGATTATCCCATATTCCCATTACTGTAGTGTGACCACATAAGACTCTCCCTTGGATGGGTAAAATTGGGGGCTATGGAGATTTAATGGCAAGAAGTGGGGAAACATTTTCTCCAGCAAAATTTATGGGGGACATTGGAAATTGATGGAGGCCATTGGAATTTTATGGGGGCTTTTGCAGAATCTTCACTTTGATCTCCGCGCACACTGTTTCACACACAATAACATTCAGGGGACTGTATTCTATCGATTTATTTCATTGGAAAGATTATCTATTTACAACGCGATTTTAGACTTCCTCGTCTCGCTAGGATCTGATCACAATTGAATTTACATATTATTTGCCTCAATCAATGATGGTATTAAATTACAATGAATCACTATGACGTATTTTAAGCAATACTACTGTATATACATATTTGTACATTGAGTAGCAGAAGCAACTGCTGTGCGGAAAACTGGCGGCACTGCGCTGGGAACTTACAACACCCCACCCACCTTGATTCATAAAGGATTCATCTATGAATCAAGCATCGCCCTTGTCTTCGCTTTGGAAATAACAGCAGCAGCTCGTCTTGGACGCTCATGCAAATCATGCAAGGAACCTTCTGACTCAGCTGAAGGGGAATTCCCTTCCTTCCCTTTCCCACCCGGTCGAGCTTGAATCTCTAACGGGTAAAGTTTCTGGACCGGTCTTTTCAGGTAAACTGGTCTACCCTTCCCTGCAACTCTTACTTTGGCTCCTCTAATTTCCTTGTCCTTTCCTATAATTAGTTCTTCTACTTTCGCTAATTTCCAATTACCTCGTTTTTCTCCCTATCCATACACTGTCACTACATCTCCCTTCTTCACACTCTTTCTCGCATTTTGACTCTTACATTTATGGAATTCTCTCAACTCTGTCAGGTACTCACTTTGCCACCTCTTCCAGAAATGTTGTAATTTCAACGTAATATACTTAAATCTTTCTCCACAGCTACGTTCCTCTCTAACTACTTCCCTCTGTGGTATGGAGCTAATAGCTCTACCATAAATTTGGTGTGACAGTGTCAAAACCTATCCTTCACACTCTTCATACTCATCTGTTAATGGTCTAGCATTTAATGTACCCTCTATCTCTACAAGCACTGTGGTAAGTTCATCTACTGTCAATTTAGCATTGCCTAGAACCTTTCTAAGACACCGTTTAACACTCCAAACCATTCTCTCAAAAAATCCTCCCCACCAAGGCGCTCTTTCTAAATTAAACCTCCAGGTTACTCGTTTGGTTTGCAATTCTGCCTTAACCTTAGGTCGGTTAAACAACCGTCTAACTGCCCTTTCTGCTGCCTTAAACGTTTTGGCATTGTCAGATACTATAAGGCTTGGCATTCCTCTCCTAGCAGCAAATCTCCGTAGACAACACATAAATGTCTCTGCAGATAAATCCCTAACTAGCTGCAAATGTATAGCTCTAGTCACACAACAAGAAAAAAAATGCTATATAAACCTTACTTGGATATTTTGAACAACACTTTACAAACAATGGACCTGCAAAATCTATTCCCACATTAGAAAAGGGTGCAGCTTCCCTAACTCGAAATCCTGGCAAATCTGCCGTCTGTGCTACACTATATGCTTTTCCCTCTAATCTTTTACAGGTGACGCATCTACCTAAAATCCACTTTACAATTTGTCTTCCGTTCACAACCCAATATTTTGTCCTTAATCTTCCTAAGGTTGCCCGTACACCATAATGATGCACTTCACTGCGACATTTCTGGACAATCACTTCAGTCAGTCTGTGGTCCTTGGGTATAATGATTGGGTGTTTGGTATTGAACTCTAACTCAGAATTATGTAATCTACCTTTACACCTCAGAATGCCTTCCTCTTCCATCAAACCTAAACCATTACACAGTTGGGTGTACTTTCTATCTACTTTCAACCCTGCCTGAGCCTCTTTAATCCATATATTCTCTGCCTCAACTAACTCATTCACTGTCAACTCTCCACTTCGCCTATCAATGCCCCTTGCTTTTGCTCGTACATTAAACCCAAACCTGAGTACCCAAGCTGTTACCCCAAAAAGTCTTTCTGCTGTCCCGTAATCATTCAAGTCAATCACTCTACTTACACTAGCTGGCTCTGTCACCTTTACAACCATAATTACATAACTGTCTTTGTCTTATCAGTAGCCTCAAATTTTGGCCACTCCTCTTTTGACTTAGTTAGCCAATCTGGCCCCACCCACCATAGCTTGTTATCTTTCAATTGTGAAGCAATTACACCTCTAGACCCAATGTCAGCAGGATTTTCAACCCCGGGACAATGCCCCCAATCCCCTTTGTTCGTTAGCTTCAAGATCTCATTTACTCGGTGGTGGACAAATTGTTCCCATTCACCCCTATTCATTATCCAGCAGAGTGCTGTCATGCTGTCAAGCCAAAACTTGGTTCTATCTATCCTAACTTGGTTTTCAAGTGACGCTTTTACTGACCTGGGAATACTAGTTGCTTTCAAGGGAGCTACTCTGGCCTTTGATGTCAATAAGCGGACATAAACCCCTACATTAGTACAATACACAAAATATACAACTGCACAGTATGCCTTCTTGCTCGCATTGCCAAATCCATGTAAGGTACACTCCAAAACATCTTCTGTACGATGTTGATATATACAGCGAGGAATGGTAATTTCCTTAGTTTCTATCAAATCCCTGTACCACCCTCCCACTTATGCAGTAACTCCTCAGTGAAGTTTTCATCCCAATCGACTTTATCCTTACATACTTCTTGGAACAATATTTTGGCACATACAACCACTGGACTAACTATTCCGAGAGGATCAAATAAACTTGCTAAAACACTCAGTAGATTTCGCTTCGTAGGTGATAAGGTTTTTGCCCTTTCCCCCACTCTCGCAATCTCAAACTTAAACTCATCGCTCTTGTTATCCCATGCCTGTCCTAACACTTTATGGCATTTTGATTCACATCCTGTTACTCCAAGGGATAGTTTTGCATATGATTGATGATCCTCAACAATGTGTTTTATCTTACATTGGTCTGTCTCGTGCACCTTAATTTTACTTTCCAATAGATTACTGTTAGTTGATCACTTTCTTAGCTTGAATCCCCCTTGTGCCATTCTACTCATAGTCTTATCATACAACTGAAATGCCTTATCTACCGTGCTTTCCCCACTAACTAAATCGTCTACATAGAAACTTTCTAGCACCTTCTTCACAAACTCAGGATCGGTTTCAAGATACTTTAAGACATGATGCCTTGATGTTGTATTGAGTAAGAATGGAGATGCATTCAATCCAAATACTACTCTACAAAACCTATGAACAACTGTTTCCCACTTATCACTCTCAATATCATTTACCCACAAAAACCTCAAACAGTCTCGATCTGCCTCATCAACCTCCACATTCAAAAAAGCCTTTTCAATATCGCCTACTAAAGCAATCCTGTTTTCTCTAAACCGTATCAGTATGCTATATATTAATGGATTGAGGGATGGCGCAACATGCAAGCAGTCATTAAGTGATGTTCCTGACTTACATTCCTTAGATGAAGCATCATAAACAACCCGAACCTTTGTGGTCACTGCATCCTTGCGAATGAATAAATAATGAACTTTATCAACTTTCTCTAATGCTGCTACTGCAGCATTATTAACTTTCCTTTGTGGTCACTGCATCCTTGCGAATGAATAAATAATGAACTTTATCAACTTTCTCTAATGCTGCTACTGGTTCTGCAATCCCTTGCTCTACCTGTTCTCTGATGATAGAATCATACTCTGTCAACAATGCTGGCTCCTTCTTCAATCGTCGCAACTGATTCTTCATTCTACCTAAGCTATTTGCATAATTGTCAGGCAATTTGTCGTTGCTTTCTTTCCAGGGTAGTTTCACTGCATATCTACTACCTGTAAAGATATGCCATCTAAAAACACCTCATGAACCTTATCTTCCTCACAGATACCTAACCCTTCAAAACTCCACAGCTTCTGTACATTACTCTCCAAACTATCTTCATTATTCATTGTCTGAGCTACAAAATTTACTTGAGCTAATTCTGCTCCCTCTATATCTTGCACTCTCAAAGGCCCTGATAAAACCCATCCTAACTCAGTTTCTATGGCAACTGGCTCTCCAGATTTACCTCTCTTGGTTACACCTGTCTGAAAATTCCAGAGGTAGTCTGCCCCTATCAACACATCTATCTGTAGCTCACCCTGACACTTCGAGACATCTGAAAACCGTATACCTTTCAAATGTGGGTATTCTCTCCTTGCTAGTTCTACATGGCTATTCTGTATTCTACAGATTTCTGGCACTACAAATGCTTCTAAGGAGATAACCTTATTCCCGTTAACAGGTTCAAGCTTTAATTCGACCACCTCCCTGTGCTCGGCATTGGTACATTTTTGACCGAACGTATTAATCCCTAACAATTCCCTTCTTAAGCCCTTGGGATTCACAAGACTAGCTGCTTTAGAAGTAACAAAGAAACGATGACTTCCCGCATCAAAGAGAACCCACCCTTTCACCCCTTAAAACCCCGCGTGCAGTTCGCAAGGCAACCAGGCTACCAGTTCCCGCATGCAAGTTACTACTGGAACTAGTCACATGCACATTAGTATTAACAGGGACCTGTTTAGATTCTTCGTCAGGTTTGACTGTTTTATCACGTTTATCGTCTTCTTTAGGGCTTGCATCATACAATGCAACATGATGTGCCCCATTGCAAACATTACACCTATTTTTAACAGTACAATTACTGGCTCTATGGCCCTTAAATAAACAAAGAAAACATCTACCGTATTTACGAGCCAAACTCTTTCGTGCCCTCGGATCTTTCACTCCCTCACAGTCTTCATGGTTGTGGTTCTTCAGGCAGAATACACAGTTTCCTCTCCTTTCGTTTGCTAACAATGCTGCTGCAGTTCCATGATGATGTTGGCCATATTTCTTTATATTACCCGAATTTCGCTCGTGTCTTTCCTGCTCGTGTCTTTCCTGCTCTCGATCTGAATTCGTTCCCACTGCATTGTGCGCTTTACGAAGTTCGAGTTCCTTCTTAAAGGCGTTTAACATTTCTTCCATCGACCATTCCAGAAAGTTCTGCCCTCGCGTGATGGTCAAACGAAACTGTTTTGGCAACTTTTCCATGATTGTTGGAACAACAATGGCTGAATACGAGTCTTCGTTCACTCCCAGGGCTTTCAATGCGCGGTTGTTCGCTTCGCAGCTGTCATACAACTTCCGTAATCTTTGTGTATCTCTTTCTTTATAAACCGCCGGCAATTGTATCAGTTCATTGACGTGCGCCCGTTGTACTGCGCTTTTATTTTCGAACCATTTCTTTAACAATTCCACCGCACACAAATCAGGGGCGGATCCTGGATTTTTCGTCCGTTAGTCAAAGTTTTCAGATGTACAATCTAGTTTTGCGAGCGGTGAATGCGCGAGGCACCTAGGGGGGGGGGGGGGG